TGTGTGTGTGTGCGCGCGCGCGCGCTTGCACATTGTGCGGCACATGTGTTGTGGGACGGATGTCACCCCCGCACGTGGCGCCTGTGAGGAACAGCAAGAGCGTTCGCGACCGCAAGCAGCAGCGCGGCCCTCGCTCGTCGCCTTTTACTCCGCCGCATTTACTCCACGCCGCCTGCACTAAACAGTCGGCCTCATGCATAGCAACCTCTCCCGTCTGGTGCCCCACCTCGACCCCCCGCCTTCTCCCAAGCCTCACCTCATCATTGAGCCGCCCCACCAGGGGGGCCAGACCCAGCATGTTGGCCAAAACCCCGTTGAGGGTGGACCGCACCTGTGAGGATGAAGGGGTCGCAGCATGCGGTGCGAGTGCGGTTTGAGGGTGTTGTGTGGTTGATCAATACATTCTTTGTGTGTGTGTGTGTGTGTGTGTGTGTGTGTGTGTGTATGTGTGTGCGCGCTCGCACACGTGCACGTGCGTGCCCGTTGATCACAGCAGTCTGCAGAAGGGAAACCGCTTGGCGAGCACGCATGCGAAAAAGAGTGGTTGACCCGTGCAAGCGGCGACTCAGCACGCCCATCAGGGCGCAGCGATACTGATGATCCAAAACACAGCGACGCTTGCCACGTCAGATTGCGCCCCGCGTGCACGTGCCCGCCCCCCCCCTGCGTCCACAAACCCCACCCCACCTGCGCCGACGAGTCGTCCAGCAGCGCGCGCCCCAGCAGGGCGGCCAAGAAGGCCTCGTGGCGCGATATGAGGGCGTCCATGTCGCAGCAGGACGCGGCCGCACCCTGGAACTCACGCCACGCGCCTACAGAGGGGGCGGGTTTGAGGGCGGTGGTGGCGACGGCGGCGGCGGGGGCCGGGGCGCGGGGTGCGTCGGGGGAGCGCAGCTAGCCCAGAAGGGGGCAGGACATGTTGGCGCACAGCTGCCAGCCCAGCACCAATGCATGTCGTGATTCTCCCCAAGGCGTTGGAAAGTGTGATTACCACATAAGAATATCCCCTCAGACCCGACACCATCCGGTCATTCGAACGCGACCAGTCGACAGTGCAGCCAGACGCGCCGCTCCGACACTGGCGCGGACCTCCCGCCCCCTCACCTTCCAGCACCTCGTACGTCACGTAGGTCCTCATGTTGGTGGCAAAGTGCCCCATGTCGGCGCGCAGCCGCAGGCACGACCGCAGCAGCCGCTCCAGCGCGGCGCGCGCCGGGGCGCGGAACTTGGGGAGCTCCCTCTCAACCTCCACCTGGCGGTTGGCAGCAGCGGCAGTGTCGGTGACAGCTGGGTGATTTGATGCTCGCTGATCGAACAACGTTGCCTGGCTGCTTGATGGGTGGATCAGCCGGCGGGACGGCTTTGAGGTGTGGGTGTGGCCCTTGACAATTCGCACCGTTGACAAGGTGCATGTGCGTCGTCACTGCTGCGCAGCACGGCAGCGCCGGCTGCAAAACAGGCACACACACACGCCCGCTCGCCGCCCCTCACGACCCGGCCCCTCCCAGGCCCCCGCGCGCCTCCTAGCCCCGCGCGCCCCTCCCAACCCCGCGCGCCCCTGCCAGCCC